GCGAAAGGAGACGATTGGGGTTCACACCACATTTTAAGAAATTTTCATTTTTATTCAGTGAAACGCACCGTTCAAAGGCAACCAAACCAAAAGAAGAGGATAAAATATGATATGAAGAGAACTGCGTGCAGAAGGATAAAATGTGATTGGCAAAAATCACAGAAGGATCAAATTACAGTAACAAAACACACGAGAACTGCGTGCAGAGTAGATAGATCAAATCCAAAAGAAATCAACACAAATTCATATATAACCATAATTCCCACACGAGTCAATATAACTATATATCAACAATGAACATGAAAAAGATGGAAACAAGCTCAAGAAGCAACTGTTGCCAGATCTGCCCGGAAGTAGGAAATCAACCGCACTTGGTTGCACCTAAAAAAAATAAAGCAAAAGTAGAAAAATTAAGTGTCACTATTATATAACATGCCTTGATATTTATGGTTAGAATTTATATAGAACACAAATATTATAGAGAGTTGTAGAAACTTACTCACTTAAGAGCGTTGGTTGGGTTTTTGGGTTTTTCTCTGCTTATGACGTCGGTTGCAACTTCCAACTAATTTCTGTTGATATTTCTCCACTTTCTTCACTAACCACCATGGTTTTCCTATAGTGAAGGCAATGTATCCCAGACTAAGTCCCAACACCAATCCACATCCATACCCTGCCAATGCAAACTTCCACTCAAAGACTGTTGTAGAGTCATCTTCTTCATCAAATTGCGATGAAGGTGGCCTTGGTTCTCCACATTTCTTTGTCAATGGGAATCCACACAACCCAGAGTTCCCAATGTAGGAATCATTTGAGAAAGTACTGAACTGCTTCCCTTCAGGTATGTGGCCCACGAGTTCATTATGTGAAAGATTCAAAACTGATAGGAACGTCAGCTTTGTCAATTGCTCTGGAATCCTACCTTCAAGCTTGTTTGATGAGAGATCTAATGACTCGAGTTCTGCTAATTTCCCCAATGATGATGGGATTTGACCATTGAGGCTATTGTGAGATAAGTTTAGCAATAAAAGTGCATTGAGTTCTCCCAGCTTGTCAGGAATCGGTCCATGAAATTGATTGCTCGAGAAATCTATAGTTGTGAAAGTTCTCAAGATCCTTACAAGCTCCCTCTCTGACCCTTTCATTACTACCTTCACAGACTCCTTATAAATCTTATGGCAATGTCCGTCTCTTAAACATGCCGTATAGTTATCACTGTATTCCCATTCGACATCAACTGGAGCTACATCTCTCATACCTTTCAAAATTTTGAAATAGTTACTCGGTAGAAGACCCATAAAATTGTTCTGTGCAACATCAACGATTCTCAACTGAGGGAAGTGAGATGCAGGCATAGAATCGTTGATGGCACCATGAAATCGATTAGATCGAAGGATGAGAACTTGTAGTGATGGAAGAACACCTAACCAATGTGGAAAGGTATCATTCAAGTTGTTGTTCCCAACATCTAGAAGTTCCAAGTAACGGCAATTAACCAAAGACCGTGGCAGTATCCCTTCCAACTGGTTGCCATTTAGGCTGAGAGTTAACAAGGAACTGATGTAATTTGGAATGACAAATGAATTTGGAATCCTACCATGGAACTTATTCATCCGCAGATCCAAGAACAGGAGATTACTCAAGTTTCCAAGACATTCTGGAATTTTTCCTCCCAAACTATTATTAGCTAAATCTAGAACTTCAAGAGAAGTCAAATTGCAATAAGAAGAAGGGATTTCTCCAGTCAAATTATTCCCTGAAATGAAGAGTTGTTGCATAGAATACCAAGTTGTTGATAGAATGGGTGGTGATCCTTGTAGTAAGTTGGATCTGAGGTCAACAGTGCTAAGATTTCCAAAACCGAATAAATCTATACCAGTCAAGAAGTTATAAGAAAGGTTTAAATAGTGCAATGACGACATCCCTTCTATTTCCCATTTGTGAATTTGACCAGAAATCTTGTTATTGGAAATATCCAATTCTCGCAATTTCTCTGCCTTCCTTAAGAAACCTGGGAACTTGTGTATGTTGCAAGAAGAGAAAGTTAAAGACTGGAGGCTCGGAAGAAAGGAATAGTTGACAACACTGCCATTATTGCTCAAAGACAACAAACTATTATTGGAAAGATCAAGATCCTCAAGGTTTACAAGCTTCGAAAGCATGTCGCGTGTAATGGTGCCAGTTAAGTTATTTGAAGAAAGGTCCACACTAGCAAGACGCACAAGATCAAAGAAGAAGCTAGGAATTGAACCACTCATGTCATTATTGGACAAATAGACTTCTTGTAAAATGAGATTGGGCATCTCAACATGATCAATAGGTTCGGTAAGGCGGTTGTTTTGGAGGTCTAAATAGGATAAAGAAGGCAAAGAAAACAACCAAGATGGTACATGACCTAATAGGTTATTTGATGATAGTGACAAAAAAGTAAGATGGGTGAGGTTGAAGATTGAAGCAGGAATTTCACCACCAAAATTGTTTGCATTTAAGCTCAAATCTGTTAGCTTGTGCATTTTTTCAAAAACATCTGGTATATGCCCTCGCAAATCGTTGGAAGAAAAATCTAATTGAGTTATCTCTGTAAGATTTGCAAGAGATCTAGGAATTGATCCATAAAATTGGCAACTATGAAGATTCAATTTCTTTAGGAGTTTAAGATTTCCAATTGAATGAGGCAACTCTCCTGATAAGTTTGTGTTTGCAAGATTCAAATACTCGAGAGTACTACTCTGGTTTGACTCAAGCAAATTACCTCCTAAATAAGGGTTGGAGCTTAAATCAAGAACCTGGAGAGATGGAAGCTGAAAAACTCGGTTTGGAATTCCTTGCAAATTACAATCGCTAAAGCTCAAATGCTCCAAGGAAGAAGTCAAGTTTAGCAAGGAAGAAGGCACAACCAGAGACATATCCATAAAATCAAGGATAAGAAACCTTAATTCTGTTAAGTTATGCACAAGCATTTGAAACTTTATGTTGTCAAGAAGCAAACCATAATTATCAGAGAGATCGAGTGAAACCAATTTCGATAGCAAGAAGATCTCATCAAACGGGAGAGAGCCATACATGTATTCTGAACCTGCAAGGTTAAAGATTTGTCACATTGAAACCAGTTTTGGAAGCATGGAGATTTTAAACAAAAGAAAAAGAAATGAAATCTCGTACCTGAGAGATTAAGATATGTCAGACCTGAGAGATTAAGATATGTCAGACTCTTCCAACGGTTGAACCCAAACGAGATGTTAGGATAATGAAAATAATTGTCAGAAAGGTTGAGACTCTGCAATTTCTCAAGGCGGAAGAGACTACTATTTGTAGTTAGATTGGCTTCAAGACAATTACCGCTAAGATCAAGGCCAATCACGTGACCATTCCGCTTGTCGCATGCGATGCCTTCCCACAAGCAGCAGTCTTTACTCTCATTCCAAGTTTGTAATATGGGACGAGGAGTATCAAAACAGTATTCCCCCAATTTAGTAGTGCTTTTGAAATCAAGCAATGCAGAACGCTCTTCAGGACGGCACAAATGTGGTGATGAATTGAGAGAAGATTGAGAAGGTGATGAGCTTTGGACTCGAAACTGTAACAACATGAAGGAAAGGCAGAGGATTTGGGAAAACCACATTAAGCTTCCCATTTTCTTAAAGATGAACACAATTCACCAATCGAAGGAGTGATGGATTATTCAAAATTGAAGGGCTGGATCCCAGTATTTATAGTCTTTACTAAAGTACAAAATAAATACCTATTAAAATTTTAAAAATCTTAAATAAATACCAAAACATAAATGATCGCACATTTCAATTCAAATAGTATACTAATCGTTGGATTTGAGGAGCCATGCGCAGAGCGTAAAAAATCAAATATTTTAAAAGTAAATATGGGCTTTTTGAATCCATTATATTATTGTTTTCGATAAATAGAATTAGTTCATATAACAACAACAATTGTATATAGCTCAATCTTTTTTTTGTATTAACATAGGTCATTATCATCAATCATTAATTCAGATAAAAATATTTATTTTTATATTTTAATAGAAATCTTTTTTAATACTACAATGTTACTTCAAATTCATTTCAACTATTTTAATTATATTTTTCATAATAATTTTTTCATATGTATTTTTAATATTATATTTTATATA